ATAATATGATATAATACACCTATACCATCAAAATCCCGTCGAAATTTAATGTGCATAGTGTATTAGTGTGGCATCAACAGCTATCCGGGTACGCGATCGATACGAAAAATATGAAAGAAAAGATTATGAAAACGAAATGATAATATTCGTCCGGGCAATGTTCACGGCTTCACGTCAATATAATTTAATATATACGGGCGCGGCAGCAGGGACAACACCTCCGTCGCCGCCGCTAGATCGCGTATGCCGGCGTTGACCTATATTTTATTATTTAGTAGGTATTTCATTACATATTATATTCGATAGGTTATATTTTATAATATGAAGGAGAAAAAATGATGACCTTATAGTATCCAATTTTCGAAAGAGTTTTTCATTTTCCTAATACCGAGAGCAGTTGTAATACTTGTAGCAGCAGCAGCACCAGCAGCACCAGCAGTAGGTGTATATAAATAATAATACATAACGTATATATATAATAATATACTATATAGTGTTTACTGTTCACTGCAATACATTTATGCGTTTTTGCAAATGATAACTATAATATTATATTATACGACGCTGCGTCAACAAAGCTATTTAGGTTACATATCTTGATTAAATTTGACCGGACACACACACACACAACAATCACATAATATACGTGTACGTAAAACAATGTGCAGTAGGTATATAGGTAGACTATACGGATATTACGTTGCTGTTGTAATGACACTCGGTGAACGTTTATAGGTATACACCACGCATATATCGATCGCTTTGTTATGACGGACGGACGGACGGTATATTATACGCATATTATAGACGGTTGTGTCGTTTTCTTACAGACATTATGTGTCATATTATACGGCTCATTCGATGTGAATTTTGGTGTTTATCATTTTTTTCGTTAAAAATATAAAAGTTTGCCGTGTTTGCGTTTTAATTGAGCCGTTGTTATTATACAGGGTGATTCATAAGGCAAACTCATCCTCTCCAACCCCCCCCCCCCCTTCACCATTTCTTCCATTGAATTTTTCAAATTCTGACTTTTTAAATATTTAAATATACCTAGGCATTTACCTACTTGAGGACCATATTTTAAATTTCTCGAGATTTCTACTACTAAAGGAGTTTTTAAAATGAGACAACCCCTCCCTTTTTTTTACTGAAAATTATTTAGTAGATATTTTTTTTTGAAAATGTTTGTGTACCTATTTCAAGATGTACCAATCAAGTATAGTTTCTCAGTTATTAAAATGTCTCTATGTGCTAAGAATAATAATCCTAAGTATTAAATAAGTGTAATATTGGATCTAGTATTTATTATACTTTACCATAATATTATAAAGATTGATAGATTAACATTAATGTTAACATTTTACCGAGTAAAAAAAATCATCGATTTTTCACTTCAGTATCTTTTGTGGTGAGAGGGGGGAGGGTTTAGTTGGTAGGTACTATTGAGAGGTTAAATGTGCTATTTAATGGTATAAGCAATTTTTGATTTTTATTAGTTTTTTTCATCTTATTGTCGATAAATAATTTTTAGGTTGGTCAAAAGCTTTGAATATGTGACACAAAGTTCTTCACAAGTCTTATTATATGAATTTAAAAATATTAAAGATATATTATTAGCACACATTTTTACTATAAGCATTTGAAGTTTAAATTTTAATTTAATTTGTCCAAAAATACCACCCAAAAATGTAGGTGGTATTTTGTAGTAAAAAATGTAAGAAATTTTCAATTCATAAAGCTATAAAGCTTGAAAATGTAATACAAGGTGTCTCATAAGTAGGTATTTCATACTGTAATCATAAAATCTAAAAAAATTCTTATCACAATTTTTTTATTGCAGTTTTAAATTAAAATTCAGACTAAATTAGATATTATTTTAAAAAAGAATAGGTAACGGTTTTATTTATTTTGTTGTAATTTAAAATTCGTGGATAGTGGTACTTGAATCTTTTAAAGTATATTATTTTATTTTATACACATAATGGCATTATCCAATACAATAATGTTTTCGGTAAAAGTTAATTTAACCTTTATACTGTATCACTAATATTAAATTAACTATCTACTTTAACAGCAATAATATCATAAAATATACTTAGTAATTTAGGCTGACAGACTTCGCTCATCAGAATCTTAGACTTCTCAAGACGTATATTATTAAATACAAATAATAATAATTCAACTTACAACCACCGTATTAATAATAATAATATCAAATACCAATATAGTATAAAATATCTTTGGCTGACAAACAGGCTCCGGTTCTCTTTTGAAAGAAAAACCACACATTTGAATCTCTACAAGACCCTCTCGTAGTAGTATCAAAAAAATCACAACAATTTCAAAATATAGTTTTTAAATATATTTAAAAATTCCAAAAATCAGAAGTTGAATTGCACTGTTTAATAAAAATGGGGGTGAACGGTGAACATGCTTGGTGAAGCATCCTGTGTATAGTAGGAATTGGGCATCGGACGGGATCGGTCTCTACTCTCCATATCCACTGACATTGTCGGATCCTATTACTAAATCATTTTTCATTAATCTCGATTCTCGAATAATGTATTTTTTGAGTTTGATGAGAATGATGATGATGTGAAATTGTTATTAATCCGTCTCGCAATATACCTACCGTACCTACTGTTTGACTTGAGGTAGCCACTCCGCGCTACTGGAGGGTATACTTTGCAAGTATTATACTCGTGCAAGTACTATGTTATTATACTGCATAGGTAGTTTTATTATTTCGACGGCAATTTGAATGCGACCGGTCTCTAGTTGGCATAGCGGAAAAGGGGCGAAAATAATAATATACTCGTACAATATATTATTATATAGGTATAATGTACATTTATAAACAATTTTTTTCCCTTACATATATATTATATATATTTAGGTAAGTAGGTACTCTAAGCCTTACATTAGAGTCTAAGGACGTCGTCGACATATCGCATGTACAATATTATTATAATATGCAACCGTCCACCACGATACGTCGTCTTTCTCGTCGAAACAAATTGCGGAGTATGTGCTCTGTCGAGGGTTCTTGCGTCAAAATATTACATTCACTGCAGCCCTTCTGGAGAAAACGATTTACGTGCTGCAGCGAACACTGTCACCACCACCCTCGAAGCGGTTCACCATCATTGACGTTTGGACGGACGGACTGATACGTTCATTCGTTCGTTATTATTTATGTCGCATTTTTATTTTCTCCTTTTGAGAATCTAATATACCTATAGGTTAGGTATAGAAAACACTAAACGAAAACTATTTAATATAAAGATAGCCCACGTATATAGTATTTTTTGGACAACCCATAGCCTCATTCCGTTGATATTTCTCGCATAAAGATCATTTCAACAAACCTCATATATTGTGGATTATACATTTACTTATACACGCACAATGCATAACGATTTAGTTAAAACCGTACAATTTAAATACCAGTAAAACCTGATGTCGTATACTCGTATGGGATACTTTTGTGTTTTTGTTTTGTCGACTAGAAATGTCAATATATTATTCTATGTAAAGAATAAAGAACGTACGTTTCGCCAGCGCTCCCCCCCCCCCCCCAACGAAAATCTATAAACAAACTATACAGATATTTAGCACGTAATTCGCACAAATTCGCACGTCTGGTTTGAAAATTCGCACGACCTTCCTTCCCTCAGAAAAACAAAAAAATCATGGGGGGACTGGCAAAACGTTTCGCCAAAAAATTCATTTTTTGTCAAGATAGATTTTTTATTCAATCAAGAATTTTTCTATTGTACCTACTTTGATTATTTTTTTATTAAATACAGTTGTCTATTAATTTTCTTATTTAATATTTTGTTTTTTTTTTTATAAAATTTAGATTTTTATTTAATATTGATTGTTTATTAAAAATAGTTGATTTTTATTAACTACAGGTGTCTTACTAAGGTTTTTTTTTAAGATTTTTATTCAACTAGGTTTTTTTTAGGTTATACACACAATTGTAATTAAATATTTTTCTAAACTTACCGTTATAATCTTGATTGAATAAAAAATCTATAAAAATAACTTCAGTAAAACACCTGTAGTTAATAAAAATAAACTATTTCTAATAAACAATCTATAATAAATAAAAAACAGTATTCAATAAAAAAAAACGGTACGACAGTCATACGCAATTAAATATTATTTTGAATTCTTCACACACACCACGCACGCACATCAAGAAAAAAACAAATCATTATTGTTAATATTTTATTTTATTGCAGGAAACACAATATCGTATTATTGTATAATCGACCCTATTAAACATTACACAGGGCAATCGTAAGTCGTAAAATTATTATTATAACAATATGTGTGATTTTATAGTTTTGAAATTCAGGAGAAAATAATTTCACTCTAAAGAAAGACCTGTACGCCGACTAAGTTATAAAACGTGCAGGTGATTAATATTAATTATTGTAATGTTAAGTTTAATGATTAGTCAAAGTAATATAGGGTATAAAAAAAATCATATGCCTAACAATTAACAGTAAAAAATATTGGTCTCATTTGAAAAAAATAAATGTGTATCGCCAAGGGACACTTCTTAAATGCGGTATAGAAATCTATACAATTTAAAATAACATGATGGTCTATGAGCATATTTAAAATTACAATTTGAATACATTTATTATTAAAGGAAAAAATGAGGGAGAGCATGCTGGTAAATCCCTCTGTATATTCTCGTATTTAATTAACTGGCTCAATAATTTGAATTGAAATGTATTCCAGACATACGACCTAGAGTAAGCGTATAAAATCTCGTATCCAAGGAAATATATATAAATAATTTATTTGTCTTTAAATCCCGAGTCATTTTCTGTGTAACGCGAATCAATTATAATCTAATATAACTTTCGTACCTACTGTTCAGATGTCTTCGATAAATCTCATGAGTTCGGACAAGGGACGTGCGGGCTGCCATTACCGATTACCCAGCAAGTCCATTGACCAGGCCGTACTCTGCTTCGATGCCGAATATAATGCTATTAACACCGACTGAAACTGCCGAAAAGAAAATTCTATACCCGACCAAGTCGAAATCCCTACCTGCAGAACTCGATTTAGCTGTGCCGGTCACTTGCAGTGTGGATCTGCAGGGTATCGCGGATTCTGCGATAAAGGACCTGCAGGTGGTGATCACGAACGCGACGGTCAGACCTAGGAACCTTATCGCGTCTTCGACCGTTTCATTGAAAGACATGGATTTGGACTTGACAAAGAGTCGTGCGAGTCGTTTACACTGCAAGTCGACTGAAAAAAGTCTATTTTTCCGCTCCAAACATCATGTTGACGACACACCGAAACGGCAAACCCAGTGCCGTCCGCCACGAGTAGTCCTGCAGCAGATGATGGAGTTGAAAACCTTGCAGACCGAACTATGGAATTATGTAGCGATTCCGGTCACCTATGTGCAGAAACTACGGGACAAAGATGTGGCAATAGAGGACCAGGTGGTTACCACGAACACGGCGGTCAAACCCATAAGAGCCGATCCTTTTGGAAACGTACTAAGACATTTTTCCGGCGCTTATTGTGCTGCACGTATAGTCCCGAGCAATAAATTGCTGTTGTGCCATTGCAGATGCTGCTATATAGAATATACCGCGGTATAAGTATACAATCTATAACAATAATTTTTTTAATTATCTCGATTCTTTTCCGAAGATATATGGTATGTATAAATTGTATAAGCTCTATACACTGTATAAAATGTATGAAATAATTTCAAAGTAAAATGTATGATAATATGTATAAATTGACGTAAATCGGAATTGTATAAACTGTATAAAATGGATATAACATGTATAAAATAATTGTAGTTTAAATAATTTCGAAGTAAAATGAAATGTTCAAATAATAATTTGTATCACTATTACGCATTATTAAATTATTTATGTATATTATTATGACGTATAAGGTACACTTTTGATAAATATTCCTGTATATGTAAAAATATTTGAAATAATTATAGGTACCTACTGTGAATTGTATTGACTTAGCACAAATATATTATATTTTCGTTGAATAATTCAATTGGTTTCTTTTTTATGTTTAATTAGTGTAAACGCCGAAACGCTATATGTAAAAAAAATAATTTATAGCGTGTGAAAATTTTGACCGAGATACAAAAATTATTATTTTAATGTCCATTTTATACATTTTTATTTACAAAATAATTTTCAAATTTTCATGATTTAGTTGAATTTCCACTAATGAGGAACTTTGTGTTACAATGTTGTGCTTATTTATCAAGTGAAAAGTTTTCATCGAAATGTATAGAAAACTTGAAAATTTAAAATTGAAAGTATCTATAAATATCTCAAAAAGAGTCAAACATATTGAAAATTTTATCATGTATAGAAAATGGTCATATAAAAATGTAGTGGAAAATCATTACTTTATTCGTTTTTAAATGTAATTTCTTCCAAATTTGAACTTAAAATTACTATAAAAATAAACTATGCTTATTTATTGTTTAGATTTTTTTTTAACAGAATTAACTACTTGCGTGGAATCTTGTTTTAAATTTTCAATCCTTAGATATAAAAGTTGAACATTTTATAAATTTTTAACTACAAAATAATTATTCAATTTTAAATTTGATACATTTTGTCAAAATTCGATCTTTAAATGCTTATAAAAAAAATGTATGCATATGTTTTTTTAATATTTTTAAACTTTTTGGTCCAACATATAAAACTTGATTGACATTCATAGAAAAAAAAAAATAAAAAATTGAAATATAAAATTGTCCGTAAACAGCTCAAAACATGTCAAAATATTTTGAAAATTGTATCAATTATGAGAATTGATAAAATAAACATTCAGTGAAATGTTCATGTATCCACAGTTATTCGTTTTTGAATCACAACAAAGTAATACAATCGCTACATAAGATAAAGATCAACAATGTTTTGTAAGTAATGTATATACCTATCTAAAAAATTATAAATTATAACTATGCTGCCGTAATAATGATGTATATTATGTAAATTGTATAATAATATGTAAATTGTTTATGTAAATTAACTTGAATACAATTGTGTTATGTTATATAATATTAAAATTGAAAACTGAAAATGTCCGTAAAAAGTTCAAAAAGTGTCAAAATATTTTCAAAATTGTATAGTGTATAGTAAACATTAAAAACGTTCAGAAAAATTAGCACTTTATATCTGATTCTGTCAAAAACATAGTTGTTACTATTTATAAATATAAAGTTGATTTTGCTGTTGGTACCAATGCTTGCTTAACATTTTAAAATTGTTATACAACGATTTTAAAAGTAAAAAATAAAAATCGTCTTTTTGAAATTCCATATTTTGGATCTATTTATTAAAAAACCACGTGAACAATGACATAAGATATATATCCGGTATACAAATGTAATTCATATAGGTATGTATTATATTACATTGGTGTTTTTAATATTCATTGGTAAAGTACCTACAGTGAAACAAGTTACATATATCTAAAAAAAAAAAACTGTTGAAACATTCCGAAATGCAAAGAATTCTTCAAAAAGTATTGACTAAGGTACAGGGCTATAAAATACACAAAAAAAAAAAAATCATGTTAGCGCATGAATAGTAGTAGGTATTTTCCTTTTTAAAACGGACAAAGAAGTTGTATTGAGGACTAATGCTAAGAATAGAATAATATCATCCGTACATCGTTTTATGTCTTGCAGCAGTGTTTTTGAATTTTATTAGATAAAAATCTATGGGAGCAGTTAGTCGATACGCGGCCACCTCAAACACGCGAACGGATTTTTTGTTTTTAATCGAATTTACTTCACGGTCATTTTTACACATAGCCGACGACGACGGGACGAGTTTCTTTTTCGTAGAAATATATAGGTAGCAACCCGTTCAAATTAAAATTTTAAACATTTAAAAAATCCAATAAGAGGCCAAGGCTTATACGGTTGTACGTATATGCGTATTTCGTCATCCGATGCCTATTGCGGTGCGTAATTTGAAGAAAAATATAGAGGTAAAGAAAAATAGGTACACACAAAACGTATTATATAATACCATTAGACGGGTATATCGAGAAACGTGAACAGTGAATAAAAATATTTTTATTTTTTATTTTATATGAATTTTTATAGTTATTCCTAAATTAATGTATGTTTAAGTAAAAAAAAAAAAATTAAGTAACAAACAATTTATCTTTAAGAATATTAATAATGTACAATAACAAAACCATCGTGCACACCTAGTACCCACATGTGTTTGGATACGTCGTATTGATTGGTCATCGTCGGTACGTCGCATAGTGCAAATACACCTGCCCGGACGGAAACAAGTGCTCCAGTCAACTTCAGCCAGGTCAGACGTATCATACCCTCTTTTTTTTTGTTATTATTCTGTTATCAATGCTCGTACGCAGTCTGTTGTTTGTAGTATCAATTCCATGATTTTTATTTTAATTGTTTGTAATTTGTATAGGACTAACATAGCATTAAGTTTATTCTCGTGTATGCTGATGAATTAATTCTATATGTACAATAAATTTATACAGTCCACTATTCAGGATATTTGATCGTTTCTTATTACTTTTTTTTATATTTATATTATTAAGAATCAATCAGGTTTTTACCAGCTCGATAGTTGAGATACAACCGTGTTCATATTGAATCGGCTATCCTGACTAATTTATTGTACATTATTAATATTCTTAAAGATAAATTGTTACTTAATTTTTTTTTTTTTTACTCAAACATACATTGATTTAGGAATAACTAAAAATTCATATAAAAGATTTAAATCGGTTGATATTATTTTTTACTAACAAAAAAAAAAATTTCAAAACTAAAAACCTAAGAACTTCAAGATGCATTATAGAGTTAATAAATTAGGGGAGACCGAGGCTAGTTGTCACAGTTTTTACTACTTGATTTTTTTCTTTAAGTAAACTATTTTTTTTTTCAAGTGCTGTTTGTCACATTATTCAAAATACCATCTTTAGAACATACAAAAAAAAAAATCAAACATTAATATTAAGTCGGAATACATTTTTTCAATTGTTAAAAAAAAAAAAATATTGTGACAACATACTACGCTTCTGGTTTCGTCATTATCAAGGGTAAATCAATAAACCACATTAAAATTAGACTTATAATGTCAATGTAAATTTGTGTAAATTTTTGGATTTTCGATACAAATCAATTAAGTTAGTAAATTTAACAAATTTAAACATATTATTTAGTTTGAACCTTTTGAATACATGTGACAACCCGGCATCCGCCCTTTTTAATTTTCTACTTTTTGATAACAAATTAACTTTATGAGTTATAATACTTTTCATTACCAACTAACATTACGCACCAAAATAGGTATACGTTAATACACTACTTATTTGTCAAGTTAACAATTACAACGTTAGCTATATATAGGTAGCTTACAAATGGCAAATATTATATGTATTTACGGATAAAAATTACTCACTGACTCAAAATTCGTCATGCTATTACAATCAGCCATTCAGCCCATAGGTAACTGAAATAATAATTGATTACCTAATTTAATTGTAATAATGTACAGTAGGTAAGTGCAATATGTACGTATAACTAAATAACGAATATATAAATACCATCTAGTTTCAGAGTTATATATCATTGTGACAACTAGTCCCAGTCTCCCCTACCTACTATATTCAACTACAAAAAAATATTATAAAGATATATATTATATAATATTTCTTCATTGTACTTATTTATCTAATATAAAGTAGATATAATGATAGTAAAATTGATGAAAATTATGGTATCAAAAAAAAAAAACATACAGAATCAACAATAAACAATTGATTAAACAAAAATAGACAGGAAACGTTAAAAAAAAAGAACTACAATCAGTGGCGGAAATGTCTGAAGAACTATTTTATCTTGAAAATATCGAGGAATCAGTGAAAGTTGAAATTCCGGACGTAGATAGAGCACGAAGTTATACTTATCACGGTGTCTTATAGCTATATAAACATATTGAATTGTATTTCAGTGAAAGATAAATTCTATGAAAATGGTTCGACTGAGGGAAAACTGCAACAACTATACAGCAAAAACCAATTCACAGTGTGTAAAGAAAAATGTATGCACGATGCCACGATGTACCGGAAACTCCATTTTCATTGCGAGAAAAAACATTTGCATACCCCAAGCTTTGAAGGACAGGGTCAAACTATGATTCACGATAGTTGCACTTGTACTCAACTTTGCAAAACAAACAAATGTCAAAGTAAAAAAGTAGGGGAGACTTCTAATATTTTTCAACTGCTATTGTAACAATATATCAGGAGCCTTGTGTTAAATTTTTTCACTTTTTGGCCCAACAGATAAAACTTGATTGATATTCATGGAAAAAAAAAAAAAAAAATTGAAATATGAAATTGTCCGTAAACAACTCAAAACAAGTCAAAATATTTTGAAAATTTTATCAAGTATAAGAATTGATAAAATAAACATTCAGTGAAATTTTCCTGTATCTACAGTTATTCGTTTTTGAATCACAACAAAATAAGAACATCGCTACATGAGAAATCGAGTGAATGATGTAAAAATTAGAATTTCAAATGCTCATAAATATTTAATTTGAATTTCTTAAAGAAA